ATCAACTCATAAGAACAAGATAATTCAAAGAAAACTTTTTCATGTAATTAGTCTAACCTTTAAACTAATACAAAACATGAATCTATTGACAATTATCTTTGAAAATGGATTAGCATGAACATTACCACATTAAAAACAAGTTTATAAGATCAAAACAACTTAGGGTAATGTTCCTAGTCCATTTCTAGCCAAAAACCTCGAAGATATGCTGTCTGGGGTCCAACTCGTCGAGTGCATGAACACAGCTCGGCGAGTTGGATGCATTTTGCCTTGGACTCGTCGAGTCCCTTCATGGACTCGGCGAGTTAGCTGGGCTGACAGCATCAAAACTCGATTTTTCAGCTTCTATTGCAGGTATAACAAGAAAACAAGCCTAGGCTCTGATACCACTGTTGGGTTATGAGCATTCTAACACTCCTAAGTGTACATGCAACCCTAAATACCTTGGATCTATGTTTTCTCTATTATACATGCAAATATGAACATCCAAGGTATTATCCTAATCTAGCATACAAAATAATGGATATAACAAGATAGAATACATACCTCTTTGATAGTGCTTGTCTTCATGAAGCTTCAGTGCTTAGTGCCCCAAGTGTGACACCTCAAATGGTTCACACAACACCATAAGCACTTGGAATAACTTAGAGAGAAATTAGAACACTTCATGAAATTGTGTAGCCCTCATACATACACACATAGTGTTAGTAACGATTTCTTGAGCCATGGGTTTCTTTTATATGGTGGCTATTAGGGTTACACCATGTAACTCATGACTTTACCCATTCCTTATGCTCCATGGATTTTAACCTCCATGGAGTATCCATGGGTCACCCCATGGACTTAGTCCAACATAAGGAATCTTGGATCACAAGCCCACATATATAAGAATGAATGATTTACACAATCAACCCATATATTTAATTAGTCTTCTTTTGATCACTTAATTAATTCTAGATTAATTCTTGATCAATACTAACTAAATAATCTCATTATTCTTATTATTAATATACTAGAACTTATAATATATTAATAACCGTAAGTGTCTTATTTCTCTCATTATAGTCTATCCAAGTGCATGATGCCATGCAACCCAAATGGACCATGCCGGGTCAGGTCGAGTCTTACCAATTATAGTTATGGACTTAGACATTAATCCGACAATGTTGAAATGACCATAACCATGCCAGATACATGATTGAAAAAAGGAATTTAGGGGAGATGGGACCCTACTTAGTTTATCCGACATCATCGACTCCGAGGATGCTTCTGGAGATTTAGACTTTAAGGTCTTCTTTTGAAAAATTTAAAAGTTATCGAAAAGAAAGTATATAGTTGATGAACTTATCGACATTAATGATTGCAGGTTGCTGGAAATGATGACGGAGTAACTATTGGATTAATATCTAAGTCCATAACTATAATTGGTAAGACTTGACCCGACCCGACATGGTCCATTTGGGTTGCATGGCATCATGCATTTGGATAGACTATAATGAGAGAAATAACACTTAAGATGTGTTAATATATTATAAGTTCTAATATATTAATAAGGGTTATTTAATTAGTATTGATCAAGAATTAATCTAGGATTAATTAAGTGATCAAAAGAAGACTAATTAAATATATGGTTTGATTGCGTAAATCATCCATACTTGTATAGTGGGCCAAGACTCCATGGATTATCAAGTTGGGCTAAAATCCATAGGATGGTCCATGGATGCTCCATCGTATATTTGAACCCATGGATCCAAGGAAAAGGGAAGTCATGACAATTAGGGTTTACTCTAATTGTGACACTATATAAAGATCATATTCTTTGGAAAAAAAGGGGCTACTATGAGATGATAGAAAGGGCTAGCCGATTTTATGAAGTGTTCCAATTTCTCTTAAGTCATTCCAAGTGCACATGATGTTGTGTGAACCATTTTAGTTGTCACACATGGAGCACTAGGAACTCAAGCTTCATGAAGACAAGCTACATCAAACAAAGGTATGTATTCTATCCATTTGATTACCCATGTATCAAGTATTGTATGCTAGATACGGTAGTACCATGGAAAGTTCATATTTGAATGTATAATAGAGAAAACATAGATCCAAGGTATTTAGGTTTTCATGTACACTTAGGAGTGTTAGAATGCTCAAAACCCAATAGTGGTATCAGAGCCAAGGCTTGCTTTCTCTTATACTTGATGCAAATGTGTTTTTTTTTCAAAGTTGAATCTATCCAGAACATAAAAGTCGACGAGTTTATGCCAAAAACTCGATGAGTTCTTCATGTTGGGCATGAGCTCGAAGAGTTTCTCAAGGAACTTAATGAGTTCTGGGTACTGACAGCTTTCTGTTTGCTGTTTTGGCTGGAATTGGACTAGGAACATTACCCTAAGCTATTTTTGAACTTATAAACTTGTTTTTGATGTAGTAATGTTCATGCTAATCCAATTTCAAATATAATTATCAATAGATTCATGTTTTGTATTAGTTTAAAAGTTATTCTAATTACATTAAAAAGTTTGATGTGAATTATCTTTGTTCATATGACTTGCTTAGATTAACAGATAAGTTAATTGATTATGTGTTTTTAATCCATTTTAATCTAAGAGTTGATTCTAAAATGTGTTTTTGTAACTTGTCCTCAAGTTATATGAAAATTCACATTTAAAGTTTCATAAAACTCATAAAAGTTGGCAATGGTTACAAAAATGAAGAGTCTTGTCCTCAAGTCATATATATATATATATATATATATATATATATATATATATATATATATATGTATTGTTAACTTATAATATTATAAGGTATATATATACATACACACACACACACATATATATATATACATACACACACACACACACACACATATATATATATATATATATATAAGAGTAAAGTCAGTCTTAGTAGGCCTCATTCACGAAGTTCATCTATAAGGGGGGTATAAGGTTACTGCCTATAAAATGGTAGTTTAATGGGTGTCCACTCTCACCCATCACTTCCTTGACTAGTGGAGGGTCGTTAGTCGAACGGGTAGGACAAGGACTATAATTCTCCATTCATTAAAAGTATTAATGATAAATAGTAAGTAAATAAACCTTTTATAAATATCCAATCTTAGTTACTTAGGAAAATGTGAATAAGGTGCTAATCCATGAAATTACACTTTGCACTTTGCTTAAGTTGTTAGTGTAGCGTGTGTGTTTAACCGACACACTAACCTGGACATAACAAGGTAGGCAAAGGGTAACTTAATATTTATTATAGTATCAGTGGAGCGTGTGTGGTTAAGTAGCACATCGATTAAGGGGTAAACAATTAAGGGTACCCAGTATATTTGCATGGTTACTTCACACATTGTTTTGTGAGCCTTAACATCCCAGCCACAAAACCTAAAGGGCGCACCCGAGATTGAAACATGCCATTAAACAATTCAATGAATCTCAAAAGATCTAGGAGTTTCAAATCCAAGTAAAACCTAATTAAATTATTTCATTTTCATGGTGGAAATTGGTGAATCGTCATTCTCCTACCTTCAAATATTCTATAGCTTGGATTACGGCATCCCTCTTCCAAGTTATAAAATATTTTGTAGGGTCCTAGCCTTAATATTTCATATTGGGTATTATATTAAGGACTTTAAATCAACTATCTTGAATATCTCCCAAAAAATGATCTTCCCAAATCTCTTGAAACAAACTTTACTAAATGAATACGATGTCCCATGGAAATCATACTTCTTTCACGTCCTCCAATTATTCTCCCTAACCCACAAGTTCTTGAAAAGTTTAAGGTTAATCAATCCCTATTGGCAAACAAAGGTCTATGTGTGATCACATCTTGGAGATGTAGTCACATATTGACAAGCCGGGAGAGTTGGGTGTCAAAGTCTTGAGAAAGTTGGTGGCTCAACTACTTTGTAAGTAACATAGTGAGTTCCTTTGGGAGTCATATGAAACAAAATATGACAAGACCCTTAATGATCTTATCTATTTGCTAAGATCAACTTCCCAAAAACTTTATGGACATTGACAATGATGACATTGGATATCCAATAAAGCTCTCTCTTCCCAATGGAAAGGGATCGGCCATTGTCAACTCGGTTGACCAAATGGTAAAGAGAGAGGCTAAGTCTGAGATAGTCCCATTATCAAGGGTCCATTGCCAAAGGAAGGGGAATTAGTTGTGAAGCTGCCAATTTTACCTAAAGATGTTAAAGTCAATAAGTTTGACTCTACTTCAGGTAAAGTCCACTATCTAAATCTGTTAAGTTTCTATTATGAGATTCTTGATACATGATGTGTCTAGGTCACATGTTGATGGTTTTAAAAATCAAAGAAAAGTGAAGAAACTTAAAGAAAGAATAAGCTGAATCTGATCGCGTAGATGGATTTCTATCGCATAGTTTGAAGATCGGATTCTTGAGCTACTTCTTAGGAGTTATGATATATTGCTTAGGAATAGATAACAACAAAGTTTTCATGCACTTATGCATTGTAAGGATACTTTTTCCGCAAAGTTTTTAAAATAAAAGGAAAAATGATGATTTTATTTATTTTGAAATATCCTTACAATGGCATTTGAGGAAAAAAATTTATTGCTTATATGATTCCATTAATAGCAAGAGTGGAAATATGAAATTGATTCCTTCATTTGTGGTAATGTCTAAATTTACCAAATAAGGAAAGATCCTCATCACCCAAGTTTCAATTGGACCGGAACTTGGAATCATGCAAGCTGTATAGCATGATGAATGAGATTTTTTTTATCTTAGGAAAATTAAGACTAGTTCCTCGTTCACATGTATATGTGAGTCAAGTGAAGGACTAAGAGATCGAGTACAGATTCTTGTGCACTGGTCAAGTCCACCACAAATGTTAACTAATGTGTCTCCTACATAACTGATTCAAGCATTATTTTCCAGAAATGAGTATTCATACATAAAGGCATCATAAAGCATAATAATAATAATTGATGGTTGTTTATTATTTGAACATATGGTTTTGGATATGGAACTTATGAATGTGCTTCCGAGTGCAGAAGATGAGGTCAATACAGCTTGCTTTCATCCTCTTGCTGGAGTTGGTCTTGTTTATGGAACCAAGGTCTGTACTTTATCTAATAAAAAAACACTTTAGTCTATATTTTTATTTTTATTATTTATTTTTGGTCGTAGGAAGGAAAACTGAGAATCCTTCAGCATGATGGTGGTCATGCGCCCATACCTGATCACTTTTATGAAGCAAGAGCAGTTGAGGTACAACAGCTCTTGTATTTGTAATACATTTTCTAAAACCGGGTAGATTTGCTAAAGGTGCTTTTCTATTCTATTCTTTTTCATGAATAAACTTAATAAGTCCATGCATATGTTAAATAGGTCCAATAATAAAACCATTTTTCAGATTTGGTTTTCATTTGCAACAGGAATGAGAGGTGTATGGTGTTTCAGGTGAGTTTGGTGGTGAAGTTTTGAAGGCTGAAACAGATAATGAGTGTAGTGGCGAAGGATAGAACAGGTACCATTTCTGCAGTTTTGTTTGGTATTTTTGGTGTTGATCCAAGTGGATAAAACTTTTTCCTGAACACATTTGCTAGAATATACCATGGCCTGATTAAATAATAAACACAAACAAATAAATAAAATGAATGTTGCATTCACTTAAGGGATCCCAAGGTTGCATTCAAGTGTTAATCCAAGTGGAATTGTAATCTTACCTGTGAAGTTGGTAGGTTTAAAAGTAGAGTGTCGTAATAAGAATTAATTTTACAGAATTGATGAAAGAGATTAGCTCTGGAGTTTGAAGAGGAGAAGAAAGCTCAAGCTGAAAGAGATAAGTTGCTGCAAATACAAGTGTTGCATTCTTCATTTCAATTGTTACTATGAAACACAGAGTAGATTAGATGAATACAAATTTATATATTGTAATGAAATAGAATTTTATGACACTAAATTTTATGCAATGGATTGTATTTTTTGTATATGGTAATTTATTTCTATTATGAGACATTAAATGCAAATTTAATTTAAAAATTAATAAATATATAAATATATTTTTTTAAACATTTAAAATTATGATACGCAAAAATGTGTGTCATCTTGATATATGACATGCCCATTCTTGACAGGGGCTACCTTGATACGCATTGCGTGTCATTAACACGCGCGTCGTAAGGTTACGACACACAAATGCGTGTCGTCTTCCTTTATGACAGGGCCTTCCTTGATATGCATTGCGTGTCGTAAAGGCGCGTCATAATTGCGCGTCGTAAATGAGCGTCATAAATGCGCGTCGTCTCTCTTTATGACAGGGCCTTCCTTCACGCGCATTTGTGCATCGTCTGAGCCTTTTACGACGCGCAATGAGCGTCGTAAAAGGCTGTTTTTCTAGTAGTGGTTTTAACTTGATTTTTTGTTTTAACCTGTTCAGGTATGGGGAAGGCAAAGGTAAGATGATTAGTTGTTCTATCCATTTTCATTCTAGGGCTTTTTGGTTGTTGGCTATTTAGTACAGGTATGGTCAAGAAACGAGTTACTCAGTTTTCTTAACTTATCCCATATTTATCCTCTTCTTTTTCATCCATCTTTATCCTGTTTCTTGTACCCCTTTAAGTTAAGTTCCTGCCCATCATAAATCCAAAACTATCACGTAAGGTTCATCTGTTGCCAGTTCTTCTACAAGTGTATCATCAAAATAAAATCACATCCTTAGTCTCCTATTTCATAAAACTCTATAGATATGTATGTATATGAACATGTTCAGTGAATCATGTACGTGTTTTTATTCAACCAGCAAAGGCATTGATTCTGTTGCCTTCTGTGGAATTGCAATATCAATCTCTTTTGGGATTACCCCATCCATGTGTGGTAATCTTACTCATATCACATGCATATACAATCATGAATCCCATAGTTCTTCATACTCATAGATTTTACCTTTTTTCCTGAAGCAGGACATACGTTCAACTACAGTGAGCTACAAATCCGAATCAAACCCAATCCAGAAAAATGGATGATTACAATATTGCAAGAAGTTTAAATATTTCAAACTTTCTTGATACAAATAAATAGATTTTCAATTATTAGTTAATGTTCAATTTGCAAACTTCGACATTTTGTTTGTTAGTCGCCACCTCAACCTTGGTCAATCCAGGCTCTGACGTTGCTGCCTGCTGGAATAACTGACTTCTTCGGCTTACCCTTTTGATCTTATTTTGTGTTAATTCTATATTTTTGGATCTGCTATCTTTGGCCTTATGACATCTCGATTTACATTTTTTTTTCAGTTTTTACTTACAATTTTGTGGGTTTTATATGTTGATAGGAAAAGGTGGTGGTGGTGGGACAGATACAGTGGCAATGGAAATAGGTGGTGGCAGTGGGTGACACAACACCCAGAATATGGTGGCGATTGTTATATGCACTTATGAAGGTTGATTGGTCTGTTTCTTTAATACATATTTTTTCTTCAAGTATTATTTAATTTACCATCACTATTTGTTTAACTCGTAGGTAAAGTCCAGTAATTTAATAGTTTCCCACCAAATATTTGATGACAATTTTTTGATTTATTTAAGTTTCAATGCTCCTATACAGGTAACTACTTTGTCTGATCTCCATTTTTTTGTCAGGTTTTGCCCTTCCTTCTTTGGATGAAGGGTTCAACTCCTGTTTGAGACTTTAAGTGGAAGTTGGAGTAGTTTAGGACTATATTAGATTTACCATTTAACAAAAAAGTTGCTTAATAACCTTCTATCATTCTTATAAGTTTATGATCTTTTCGTTAACTCACCTTTTGACATCTTTACAAAGCTCAAGATGTAGTCTAAATAAAGAAGCTTAGAATTTTGAATGATGGAATGAATATTATGAAGGTTAGTAAGTTAGTTGCTTGTTTCTCTTTATTGACATAGAAAACAAGATGAAGTTTTAACATATGTTTTTCTCTTTATCGCTCCTAAAAGTGAAACCTGTAGTGCAACCACCAAGTCCCTCACACCTCCTATAAGTTTTCATTTTTTTATCATTGTTTCCGGTTGTTTTTCTTTATTTATGTATTTATCATCAACATTATTTAACTTTTACTTTTATGAGTAGGCTACAAGAGAACCACTAATACTTTTCTTTTTCCCAATCAAACCATGAAAGTTGCATTTTGACATTTTATATTATGACTTTCTATTAGCTCTTGTTATTTTATGCATTCAATATGTTCTTGTTATATATATATATATATATATATATATATATATATATATATATATATATATATATATGAAATATTTTTTGTTTTTTCAAGTTTTTGGCTGATATACAAGTTGATGACGAGAACATTGTTCCAAGAGCATCTACTAAAGCAAGGTTGGTGTAAGAGTTGATGATGATAACATTGTTCCAAGACCTTCAGTGAGTTATGATGATGTCCCTTAATAGCAATGTAGTATTAGGTTATATAGTTAGCGATGATTATTTGTATTTGACATGTTAGTACACTGAATTATCTTTCTTATTTATTGTATTTTATTTTGTTTTTTGTATGACATTAACTTTTGTGCAATGGATTGTATTTTTTGTATATGGTAGTTTATTTTCTATTATGAGACATGAAATGCAAATTTAATTTGAAAATTAGTTAATCTATAAATATATTTTTTTTTTAAAAAATAAAAATTACGATACGCAAAAATGTGTGTCATCTTCATTTATGACATGGCCTTTCTTGACAGCGGCTTTAATGATACGCATTGCATGTCATAAATGCGCGTCGTCTCTCGTTATGACAGGGCCTTCCTTGACGCGCATTTGCGCGTCGTCTGAGTGTTTTACGATGCGCAATGAGCATCGTAAAAGGCTGTTTTTCTAGTAGTGAAGGAACATATTCCTTTCCAAGCATCAAAACTCTCCCCCACTTAAGTTAGATGTTATCCTCGAAATCAATCCTTATCATTCCCGATGCACCATACAACTTGAACAATATAATCACAACCCCATGCGTACTATAACCTCCCTAAGGGCGACCAAACCCAACCCTATCAGAAACTCCCTTACCTGTTGAAGAACGAAACCTTAATACCATGCAGAAAACTATCTCTACTTCCCGAAATTGAAATCTCAAATTGGTCTGACTCCCAGATAGACCGGCCATACTAAACCACCACCAGGCCAAATCCTCATCGAAGTCCAACTTAAACAAAACGCTTCCAACCCTTGGCTGTCTAGATGCTTCTATTGGGAAAAAATCACTGACCATTTAATTTTTCATAAAAGTGACAGAAGGCTCAGATAATCCTTCGAGTAAAGGAATCATCTCTGCAACGGTTAGACTCAGACGAGAGCTATGCAACATGGGCAAATCAATTACTCTGAGATTATTTAATCCAAACTACAAGTGACTTAGCATATTCCCCGATTAACAAGCAACTCGACACATGAATCCCAAATCACTAGTACTGCCCCGACTCATCTTCTTGCGCCTAGCTGCTTTCAAAAAGCAACCAAGACCTCCCTGGTCCCACTTGACTTCCAACTAACTAAATCATCGGATTCCCGCCCGGTTGTTGAGTTAACATACATATATATAGTCAACCCATTTGACTTCCGAATGAAAACCTCATCTAGAAATAATTTCCCTGACTATCTCACCACTTATGGCTCTAGTAATCCTTCTAATCCAACGAATCATTATAGCCCGATCCAACTGGATCCACTAAAATCCATGCCAAGAGTGAATGCTACAAGACCAGTTATAGTCTTATATCACAACCGGCCTCCAACAACCCACCACTTCCCGATTCCATGCATGATGTTGCCTTCACACAGTCTTTCGAAATGACCCACCCTAGTCTAATCTATCTGAAGAAATCTTTGACTAATCATGGACTTTCCATGCCTTCACCACTGTATAAGAATCGGTGAATGCTACGCACCACCCCACAATCTTACAATAAGCCTACACTATCTGCCAATCTCATGATTGCTATGGGCTATCCAACATTCTTACAATACTCCTACACTATCTGCCAGTTTAGTGAATGCTACGGGCCACCATGTAGTCTTACAACACTCCTACAATATCTGTCAATCTAGTAAATGCTTTGGGCCACCCCGCAGTCTTACAACACTTATACACTATCTGCAAATCTAGTGAATGTTGGGGGTCCTGTACTACCCTCACGACCACCAGTGAGCCTCAAAGTAGCTAGAGTAGGTGCACTCGTTGATCCTCCCCTTAATATCAGACAGTTGGCCTTCTTATGGGCCACTTAGTTGCAGTGAAAACATAACGGGCTTGCCCTTGACGAGAATCCCTACTGGCATGACCAACCCTTCCATACGTGTAGCAGCCCAAACCCCTAGAACGAAAAACCATATCGTGTAGTTTCCCACACGTGATGCACTGACCACAACCATGTTGGCCCCTCAATTGTTAATCCGAAGTCTTGGGTATCTTCCCACGACCCTCCACGACATACACCTGATCTGACCCCCTCTTCCCAAGGTGCTCCAAATCAGTCTCCTGCTCTCGGGATCTCAAAATGATATCATTCAGGGTCTTGCACCCTGATATACTCATAAAATTCTTGGTTTCATCCATCGACATGTCATGATACATCACCTTCTTCATTTCCTCATCTGCTGCATACTGCGGAACCAATAAATCCCTCTCCTGGAACTTCACATTGATCTCTGCCACGGTCTCAATAGTCTGGCAGAGATCCTAAAACTCTCATGCCAGCTGTTGCACCTCAATAACCACTGCAAACTCAGCTTGGAACCTGGTTGAAAAATCATCCCACATCATCGCATCAACAACATCATTACCCACCTCACGTCCTACCTCTTCCCACTAATCTCGTGACATGTCCTTCAATAGGCAGGAAGCAAATCTGACCTTAGACTCCTCGGGGCATAAACTCATGCTGAACACATTAGCCATATTGGCTAACCATATCTTATAAGTAATGGGGTCCTTCACCCCATACAATGTGAGAGCTCCACACGCACGGAACGCAAGGAAAGACAGAGTGCGAGCTCGAATGATATCCAGAAACTCAACATGGAATGCACCAAAGAGCCTATCCAAGATCTCTAGAATCCCCTCCTTGACCGTACCAAAGACCACACGAGTCTGCTCCAAAATACTGTGCGTAATCTCTGACGAGATGAACTCCCGTATCGGCTCGTTAACTACACCTGATCCGTAAACAGAACCTGAACCTCCTCTTTAAATTATCATCACCAAATTGAAATACAACATGAAAAAGATCAGAACATACTCAATAATCGTCATCCCACAAGCTTCCTAAATTCTCGAAGACTCTCCCTGATTCGAGTATGGATCATGTGCTTTCAGTAGTACAGACCCAATGCTACCTTCCACACCTATCCATGCTTTCCTCGGGAATTGTCCCAAACCCTCTAAGTCACCCTCTCAAACTGACGCACCCAAAAATCGCTAAAAAGTGTAACCAAACCCATTAAATCATTTTCCTAGGCTCTACTAGCTTCCTAACCTCACCATACCCTCAATTGTTGAAACACTCTCATCAATGTCAACTAACTACCTCATGAATAGGGTCAAATCTATCACTCTTAGATTATTTAACATGTGCAACATATGACTTAGCATATTCACTTAGTAGTTGATCCACATCAATAAGAGTCCCACAAAGCACAAAGCAAGTAGCATTCGAGCAACGGAAAATCTACCCAGCATATTCCTACTCAAGCCATTGTATCCACTGATCTGAAAATCATACTAACATGCAATTCTAAAAGCTCATACAATCGCGCATGTAAAGGCATCTCTCCTATCATAAAATCTTGAGCAGATACTTAGCTCTAATCTGGTTTGCAATTCTCATAATCATAGCATACATCATAATAACATGTATTTGCATTTGGGGAACCACTTACTTGAGCTTGGGAGATTACACACATCACACCCCTTTCTTTGATTACAAACCCTTTTAATAAAACATCTATTTTATGAAAAAATTCACCAAAGCCTCAATTTGAGTCGAGAGATACCCGAGAGTATGCCTGAATCCCTTAAACAAAGGCTCTGATACAAACTGTAACATCCTAAAACACGAGGTAAGCATTTTATTTTTAAAACAATCAAAACACCCATGTATCATTTACTCAAACACTTAAAAGTATTTTTTTAGAAAATTAGTTATTAGAGTACAATCCCAAAATCATACAGTAGCGAAAAAGCATGGGTGTATGTGCTGCGATCAAGCCGGGCCCTTCCATTTCGAAACGGAAGTACCTGAAACCATACAAAAACAACTGTATTCACAAATCTTAGTGACTTCCCCAAATACCACATACCATACATAAAATATGAGTCATACTTATCAAACATTCATTAGGAAGTGCTA